GCATCTGAATCTTGGCATAATGGGAAAATACCATAATGCCTTCTTCGGGCTCTTCCCATTCTCTTGTTAGCACTACACATTACACTTAAGACACTTGGTTAGCGACTTATGCTCGTTCCTAAACAAAATGCAATTGTTGGGGTAAGCATGTATCTTCTCATAGCTAAGGCCGACAGAGCACAACACTTGCTTTGCATCATACATTTTGCTTGGAAGCTCATTTTTCTTTCGGTAGCATTTCTTTAACAAGTAAAACCAGTTCTGTGAAGCTCGTGTCGCTCCACCCATTTCTCACCTTCAAATTATACAGTTTCAACACTGCAGACAATTTTGTGAAATTAGTACAACCTTCATATAGAGGTGTCTCAGCATCACACTTCAATCTGTCAAACATTTCAAGACAATCGTCAAGTTCCCATTCAATTGCATTGGTCATATCCTCAAGATGGTCAGCTTCACATTACTTATGTCAAAATTAAATGATCCACAGCTTTCACTATGCTCTCGACTACTATTACTCACATCTCTTGTCTCTCTGTGCTTTACCCAGCACTTATAACTTTGATCGATTGCATTGATAATTAAGTGGCTCTTATAATTAGATGGCAAAACCTACTTCAGAAGGCAACACGTAAGACAGGGGAAAATAATCTTATTATAATCATCAGCGTGCTCAATCACAAACTTAATAAAATCTTCTGCCCCATCTAATATTCCTTTGATAGACGATTAGAGGACATCCATTCCTTGTCCATAGTCTCCAACTAGTAATTCAACAAAAATTCACTTTGACTTTAGTTTGAAAAACAAGCTTCAAATACATAAATCAATCCAAATCACAATAGCTAGCTCCATAAATGTATCATCAAAGAAACTTGATTATGGTTAATTACAACTATAAGTTCAACAATGATAATTGTTTTTCTTCCTACTCATTCTCTCTCTCTCTCACTTTCTTTATAAATAATGATATATTTGAAAAAAAAATACATTTTGTTACATATTTATTGTTTTTAGCCAATTTCTTGATTTACTTAACTCACTTATTTGTAATTTGTAATTTATAAAAAAGACTAAAGAAAATATTATTAGATTAGATTCGACTATTGTCAAATCTTATAAAGACGTTTTCAACACTTAAACCAGAATTTGAGACCTTGTACTTCTTTTTCTACTAGTACTAGTATCTTCAACAAGGACTTATGCTTATTGGTATTTGTGAAGTAGTATTATTTATTGGTGATAAACAAATATAATTAATTGTTATTGACTGGTAAAACCTATGATTTGTTAGGGATTATTAAGTGCACACTGACATGGATACAATCAAACAAACTGGCATATGGGCAATCAAACAAAGAGTTGAAATTGAGTCACACATCGTTTCTCCCAATTCCCTCCTCTTAATTAGTTGAAACTTACAAATAAAAACAAAAAGAAATTGAATTTAAACCATAATAAGAGGACCCCATTCAATTTCAAAGTTGCAAGCTTTTTCCTATTTTCCCCAATTAATTAAGCAAAGACTTTTTTGTGTTTGTCATATACGACCCAAGAGTGATGATAATAGATAGAGAGGATATATGAGAAATCATATATGAATACAACAAAAATATTTGCTGACCTTTTTCTTTTTTCTAAGAGTCTTTTGTACCAAGGGAAAACTAAAATGAAGGATCAGAGTACAAGGAATGAGGACGCACAAACTGCAAAGCAAAAGGGAAATATCTAGTAATGATTATAATACAGAACAAACATGAGAAGATGAACACAATATGAGAAAGAACAAAACCAACTAGAGTGTTTGAATAGATTCTGAATAGCAGCAAACGCAATATGAGAATGAAACAACCCAACGACACGAGAGAGCGAGAGAGAGAGAGAGAGATTGAAGACGGAAAGGAAATCCAAAAAGTTGTATGGGTCTTTTGTCAGTTCGCGTTAGCCTCCAGCAACGCGTGAGTTCTCTGTCATCCTTGCGAGATGGCCCACAACAGTTTTGAGACTTTGGAGAGCAACAATGGCAGAGCATGAAGCACAAAAACCAAAGGAAAAGGCCTCAATAAATTTGGAAGATTGATGAAAAATTCATCTAAATGTTTATTTGAATTTATAAAATTGGTTTTAGGTCTTGGAAGCTCAAGGATTAATTTTAGAGAATTTATTCTCCTGTAGTGACTCCGATAAAGGCCTAACCGGGGAAAATTCAAAATAAATACTTAGAGGTGGTGAAAAATTATGAAAATTTTCAGATCATGTTCTCATATTAAAAGGTGAATTATCATGGAGAGAAATGAATTTTTGGATGTCTAGAAAAATTATGAAATGTTACTAGTGAATAGTAACTCATAAAGTTTCTAATTGGTTTGAGATAGTGATTTGGTTTGTTGGCCATCTTTTTGGGCCAATCCAAACCATTTTTGGGGCCCACAATGGACTTATTAAAGGCCTAATTTCGTGCACTTTCCAGATTCCACCATTTTATTAAATAAAATGTGAAATTAAGGGATATTTTTGTGGAAAAATCTAGAGAAATGCCACTTGTTCAAATCTGAATATTTTTCACACTTGATGGCTGCCACATAACCCCATTGAGCTGTCCCAATTCATGCAAATCAGGAGGGAGAGGGCAGATGGAATTTTTCTATAAATACCCCTTGAAAATATATGAAAAATGTTAGAAAATTGAGAAAAATAAGGGGAAACTCTGCCACTGTTCATCTAGCCACACTTACACAAAATTTTGAGGTGTTTTAGGCAGGAAATCATCCAACCTACTTCAAGGAAACACTAAGGTATGTCCATGCATCAATATCCCTAAGTTTTACATTGATTAAACAAGGATTTTTGCTTGGGAAAATGCTGGAAAAATCTGAAAATTTCGGTTGAGATATGTGATGCTTAGAGAAGGATAGAAACCTTAATAATCAAGTGGGATAAGCAAGATTAAGTGGTGTATGGATTGATTTTTGGAAGAAAGCCAAGTTAGGGTTTTGGTTCTTCATTTTCGTTTTGCACTGTTCATGCAGAAGCAATTTGAGTTTGCTTGATTTGATGATTCCAATGGTTTTAAAACATGTTTTTGTGTAGGGATTTAATGTTGGAAGATGTTTAAAATCATTGGAATCAAAAATAGAATTTTTGGAAGCATATAACCCCCTATTCGGCCAAGTGAGGATCATGGGGAAGGAGTTTGAATTTTAAAAATATGATTGTACCATTGGATTCCTCATGAAAAATTGTGTAGGATTGGGTCATGAGAAGTTTGATCCTAAAGGAGGAATCGTTTTGTTGAAAATCAAAGAAAAAGGAGGGAATTGTTAAGTTAATGTTAAAGTGTTAGAATTAAGTTGTTTTGTGATTAATATGGCCTATGTTTATGCTTGGTTTAATAGGCATTAAGAGGAGGAATTAAGGAGAAGCATTGCTCCTTGGAGGAATTAAGTGGACAAGCTTTGCAAAGGTAGCTTTGAATTATAATTTGATTGTTTATCTTGCTTGTTTGTTGTGATTTGTTGTTGCTTGGATTTGGAGGAACTTTGTGGTGATCTTGACTGTTTGATTGACATTGGTTATGCTTTGGCCAAATGCTTTGTGGTATGTCAATATGGATGATATGATGTTCCTCTCCTTGCCTGGTATTTGGCATGAATTCCTATGAGTTGGGAGTGGTTTGGATTGCATGAACATGTCACAATTGAACTTGCATTGATTTACATGATAATTCTTTGCTACTAGGATTTCTTTGAAATCTCATTCCTCCTATGTCATTCTATGCACTAATTAGGAAATGGACCAAGCATGGATCAAGGCAAGGAATTGGTATTGGGATAGTGGAGCAATATGTAATTAATGTTGTTATGTTATGTTGTGTAAGGTATCATTGAACTTTATGTAATGATGGTATCTAGTTATGGATGATGTTATGATGTGTATTATACTTTATTCTCATGCCCTAAAGTTAGAGTTATGCATGGTACATTATGGAATGGATGTGGAAAAAGAGAAAGGGGTAATTAGGGGATAGAAATTCTCTAAAAAGTACCAAACTTGTGGCACATAAAATGATGAGCAATTGTGAGAATCTGGGCGTGAAATTTGGGAGTCTAATAGATCTCATTTTTAGCTTTAAATTAAGTGGTAATTCATCAAATTCGGAGTTGTGTGCTAAGAGTTATGCCCTTTCAAAGTTGGGCAAAAATACTAGAAATTCGAAAATTTACCAAATGAACAGTACATTTTGATGAATTTTCTGAAATTATTCTGGATGGAATTGGACCTAATGATTATTTTTCCTCCACAGAAATCTTAGCCAGCTTCGTGTGAAAATTAGAATCACTTCGTTTCAATTTTTCTAGATTTAGTTATGAATTTTCAAAGTTGACCCATTTTCGGATGAACAGTATACGGACAGGATGAACAGTAAAATTCTGAACTTTAAATTTTTCATCCGGAAACGCTACGAAACACATTATATTGGTTTCAATTGACGTATAATGAGTTATAAAGAGAGGTGTGACATATTGAATGAACAGTCAAGATTATAACAAAAGGAGAGGTGGAGATGCACCTTTAAAGCTACACAATGTGTCTCATTCTGAATGCTTAGATTAATTGAACAAACAAGATTTAGAGATGCTGAGAGCCACTGAAAAAAAGGCCGCTGAGCAGATCTGCTTCCCATTCTTATATAATAGCTTACATAGTTTTATTAATGATTTTTTTTGTAGGCTAATGGCTACATGATGTTTGGAAAACCAGATGTTTATGATTAAATCCCACTTTACACCATCGATTTTCTAAAAATTCAATCATCATCGTTGGAACTCCAGTTGCTAGTTAGCAATGGCTAGCGGCCAAAGATCAAGTGCCATTGCTGGAGCTTCGGCAATTTAATATCATTTAAATTTATTAAGTTTAGATATTTTGTAGTTTTTAATTTTATAACATAAGAGTCAAGAAATACCATAAGTTCAGGCCAAAAAGGTTAACTGCAAGCATTTAAAAATTTAAGAAACGTAGTTTTCAAAAACTAGGATTAAAATCATTGGTGAATGAATAATTACATGGATACACTTATGTCTCTCGTTGGCAACTAAACCTGAGTATTTTTCATGAGTCATTATTTAAACATGAAATAAATCTCAAATGTCTAACATATTATACACAGTACTGTTATATAAATATACTTTTCTATATGTGAAAGTACGTGTCTCTATATCTTATGCCACGCACATTAATTTCATCTTCTTCAGCATGGGAAAGGCAAGAAACTAGGCTCCATCACAATCTTCTTCTTCTTCATCACAAACTTAATCCTCCTCAACTTCTCATTACACCATATCAGGTGTTCTTTTCTCAGTTTTGACAGATTCAGTACCCTTGAAACCAGTTTCAGCTCAACCTGAGCAAGAAGCTGCTCATGATTCAGTTGATCTTCTTGCTGCTGCTGATGCTTCTGGAACTTTCTCACTATGCAATTCCCAGTTCTCACCAAGTCCTTCAGCTTCTTCTCCTTCTGCGACATTAATTCTTGTATGAGCCTCATATTTTTTTCACAAAGTTAAAGCTTGAAAACGAAAATCTATAATAAAATTTATGGGTAAGAAAATAGATTCTTCATATTTTGCACATATGCACACTTCAATTCTCGTTAGTATGAAGACTGAAAGTGTCATTTTTCAATAATGTGGGGAATTAAAAATATGTCACTTTTCAATAATGTGGGGAAATTACAAATATCCTTTTAGTTAGTATAGTCACATGTATGCACACTTTTAGTTACAAATATCCTTTTAGTTAGTTAGTATAGTTGGTTTTGCATAATGCACTAAGAGACGTGCTTTTATTGGACCAATATCAAGTAGAAAAGCAATCAAGCGCAAGTGGTGAAATATCCTGCTCATCTACACTTGTATGCACACTTCTCTAGTAGTGATGTGGGGACGAAGAAGATTCTACACATTATATGCAGTTCTAAAGGTAGGAGTTAGATAATTAATTTACAAATATTAAGAAAATTAATTTAATTGTTTTTTTTCCTCAACATGCAAATAATCTTCCCCACAAGAAATTCAAATCACACACAAACCTACCACAGGATCGAACCTGTGATTTCCTCAAACCTGAGTAAGCAGCGACGCCTTTGAGCAAAAGGCGCCTTGGCGCGCGATTTTTTTTTTTCAAGAATTATTTATAAATTAAAGAACGAATGTTGATTTTTTTAGGTATCCATTTTAATAATAATTTGCATTAGAAATTATCCCTTGATGTAAAATTCCCTAAATATTTCTAATCAATAGAGAAAGATTAGGAAAAAAAATAGTTTTAGGAGATAAAATGAATTGTGATGGAAAAAAAAAGAGATAAAGTGAGTGGGAATTTTACATTTAGGACTAAGACACATATTTATTTAGGTCTTATATTTAGGATAAGATGGAGTATTTGTTTTAGACTAATATCAAAGGGGAAACTGTACTACCCACACAATTGAGATTCTCAAATAGCAGGATATTCTACTTATCTAAAGTCATATGCACACTTGTCACGGCTGAATGCATGAAGAAATGTGCGTTGGGGTCACAAAAAATTGACATCTTGGTGGAAGCATACCTTATGAAGATGAGATCTAATGTCTTTGACAAGATCTGAGATTGCAGGGTCTTTGGGATATGTTCGAGTTTGTTGGGAAATTCTGAGGATCAAATTCCCATCTTTATCTGCTCTGACAAATCTCCAGAACAGCCACATTGATTCCTTGATTATTTCTGCCAATCTTGCAATGGAAACTACATATTCTTCGTCTTCTTTATTTATGATCGTTTCTTTTGAGCTATCATCTGCTTAAGCAAACATAGATATGTTACACTTGAGGACAATCATTTCCTGAGAGACCCTTAATGATGGATTAATACCTCGAATGGCAGGAACTTGGAGAAGATTGCGAATGACACAGCGGTTCTTGACAAAGTTAAGAGTTCTGGGGCCTTGAAACGCCTCATTCTCTATGAACCTCTGCAACAGAACCTGAAAGAGTTGAAACTCACCAGCAGCTACATTGAACTGAGGATGATGATGATGAAGGGAATCCGCTTGTGAATGATAATGCTGTTTGAGTTGAAGAGCTTTCTTGTGGAGCCAACGCAGTATTTCCCATGAGAGGCAGATCTGTCCAACATATACAACTTCCAGATCTCTTTGCAATTCTTCAACCAACTTCATATGTGGTGTTTTTGGCTCTTTTCTGTTTAATGGCTTCAATCCTTTGAAACTTGACTTTGCAGAGTCTTTCAGTTGCAGAAGACCTGTGTGTAGAGACAGAGAGGCATGAGTTTGGGGCGTCAATTCTGTGCTTGTTTGGTTTTGAAGTCATTACTTCATATGTTTGATTGAAATACTTTTTGAGGCAAACTGCATTCTGAGCCGCAAAATTTTGTTTCTTCCACATAGTGACTTTTACTTCGAATAAATTAACTTTTATAAATTAAAAACTAGACATGTCATTCTCTGTTTTTGTTCCTTAAAAAAATATTGGATAAAGAAACTTCATTTTGGGCTGGCAATGTTTAGATTTAGATTAATAACTAGTAGCGAATACAAAATAGTTATAAAAAGAATCTGATTTCTTTTATATGATTGTTTTTAATTTTTTTTAATAAAATAAGTGTGTGATTTTGCAAATAAATGTATTATTTTGCTTGCACACCAAAGTAGAGATGGATGAGTTTGCCTAATCAAATAATATCTAAACAGTCAACGAGTTTATTATCTTGTCTTTCTACAGAATTAGAATGGCGAAAATTTATGTTTTAATGTCTTAGATGCTATATGTTTTTATAATAATATAAGTATATATTCTATAGATAAATGTATAGAAAATTGGGGATAAATTCTTGATTGAAAAATTAATTGACAAATAGTACCTAGGATGATGGATTACATAAGAAAAGATAAGCTATACATAAAAAAAGTTGAGTTACACAAAAAAGATAATTTGCACAAATAATAAAAGACTAATTTGCATATAAGGACGATAACTTGTATTTAAGGAAAAGTGAGTTGCACACAAAGGAAGTTCAGTTACATAGAAAGAAAATGTAATGCCAGAGAAGATGATTGCACACAAGAAATAAGTTGCCCAGGAAAAGTTATGCACAAAGTTCTTAGATACTATTTATCAATTAAATTCTCAATGAGGGATTTATTCTCAATTTTTTCATAAGTGTGTGGTTTTTAAATTTTAGTTTTATTTGATTGGTTTGAAAAGAAGTATGCATGTCTTATTTATAATGAAAACAACTGTGCAACAATAACTTGTAATTAAAGGAAACATCTGTCATGAAGAATTGAAGATGCAGCGTCCTATCATCATCATCATCATCATCATAATAATAATAATAATAATAATAATAATAATAATTTGTTCAAATGAATAGCAAATTTAACGTGATAATTTATTTGATTTTAATACAGTATATTCAAATTCATTAGTTCAAATTTAATTCCAATATCACTTAAAATTAAATAAAAAATAAAGCAAAATATATTAACCAAAAAACAGTTAAAATTGGTTTTTGGGCCAAATAGTTAAAGTAATTTGTTTATTGAATATGTTTAAGTAGGTTGAAACTATATTCAAATTAAGTTTATAGGCAGTTCATGTCAGCTTATTTTATAAAGAAAGAATAACATATTTGGGTGTATAAAAGAAAGAATAACATTTGGAACATTTTTTGGCCAAAACAATTATATTTTGGTTTTCGTTCTACTCAGTGAGGCAACCTTTAAACATAAAAAAAATTATTTAAAGTTATAATATTCATCTAATTTTAATAAGATGACTTTACAATTAAAAAAGTTACACACTATTTACTTTTCTTTTGCTTGGAGTATAATTGTTTTTCAAGTTCAACTTAGTCAACCCAAAAGACAGATACACATTTACAAGTCCATTCATCATCATTATCGGAAACTTTCTACGCCACAAACAGAGTAAACTTTAATTAACAAAAAAAAATACATTTGAAAGCACAATTAGTTATAAAAAGATTATTATGGATATTGAATCGGCTTTAAAATATGATTAAATAAATAAATAAATATTCTAAGTGCATAAAGTAGGCCTATGAGGTAAAAGAAAAAGATGTTGAGATAAATTAAAGTTCTGCCGCTAGCGCGCAATAGCTTTTTTCAGTAGTGGGGAAGGATGAACAGAACAAAGGACATGAATATCTTTATGAGCACATGATTAGCGAAATGTGGTGGGTGTAAAATTGACATCGGCCCACACTGAAAAAGATAATGGTACTCCGTGAATTGCCTAAAATAAACTTTCAATCCAATTGCCTTGACATTAATAATTAATAATAATAAAAAGACTTGTCCTGAGTAAAGTTATTGAATTATCATTATATTTTAAAAAAATATCAATCAATATATCAAATGTATGAGATTTATTTTAATTTAATATAAATTAGACCTAAGATTCAATCATCAAAACGAGTTGAAGTAGGGGATACGGCGTCTATAGCCTAAAAATAACCGATTCAAAGTTTAAAAACTCAATACATTAAGCCATTATAATAATAAAATTTATATCATGATTTATTTATCAAATTTCACTTTTTTTTTCTTACGTAAATAGTATGATAGAAAAAAGTGCCAAAATGAACTAGATAAAATGAGTGCGAGAGATTAAAAAAAAACAAACAAACAAACAAAGTTAATTTGGTGCTGAGTTCTTACCCAGTCCATGCATAGTCTGGTAATTTAAGATATCCAGTTTCCTCATTTTCTCTTCATAGACCTGGTAAACTTCCTCAATTTCATCCGTCAGGTCATTGAGTTCTTCATTTTCTTCATCATTCTGACGCTTCTGATCTCCACCTTCCTCTGAACGCTCTGTTTCCCCTGTTTCTCCTTCTTCTTGTTCTTCTTTTCCTTCTAATTCTTCTTCATCCTCCTCCTCCTCCTCTTGTTCTTCAAGAATAGTGCAAAGTCCTCCTTGTCTTGCATTTTCCAACTCAATTTTAAGCTGTTCCACCATATCATCGTGCTCCCATTCCATTCTCCACTCATTTCCTACCTCATATTCCAATTCTTCCATCATCTTCCTCCACTCTTCAGCATTTTCTCTATGTTTATTTTCTTTTTCTTGATTTGATCTGTCTTTCCCAGATTCTTCAGTTCTTTCATCTCTGGCTGTCATAAGACTTACTGATTCAGTTCCTTTCTGAGAATTATTGCAGCCCAGAAACTCATTTTCTTGAGTAGATTCTGCTTTATCGTCATCATCTTCTTCTTCCTTAGGATTCTCTGAAGAATCCTGTTTCTGGGCAATAATTTCAGCATTATTATCAAAAGAGGCAGGAACATTTGGACCCACCAAAAATCCTTGGAAAGTGAGTCTCATGGATGTAGCTTCCTCCATGAACCCTCTGATGTCTCTGCCTGACACGTACTGATATTTCTGTGCGGTTGTGGAAGAATTTGCCTCCATTAAAGCACAGCTTCTTTCGCCTTCACCTTTAAGGTGAGACTGAGCCTCCATTGAAACAGAAGTCTTTGCTTCTTCTTTTCCCTCATTTCCATGTGAATCAGAGTGGGCCCCCATTGAAACAAGGCTCTCTGATTCTCCTTCTTCCCCACTTCCTGGCAAATCGCGGTGAACATTCATTGAAATAGAGCATTCAGATTTTGTTCCTTCCTTGTCCCCATCATCTGGATGATCAAATTGAAGCTCTTTTGAAACAAACTTCTCTGTTCCATAAAAATGGACCTCTGGAACAAAACTATCAGTTGCTGTTTCTGTTCTCTTTTCCATTTTTTCAAGTGAATCTGAGTGAACCTCCGTTGGAACACAACCATCTGTTTCTCCCTCACTCTTGTTCTTATCTTCATGATTATCAGAACAGCCCTCCATTGAAATAGAGCTTTGTGTGTCTCCTTCTTTCTTATTCTCCTGAAATTCGGAGTGAACCTCCATTAGAAGTGTTCCTGCTTCAATTTTTTCCTTCTCTTCACCAGCATCCGAGATGGCCTCCATCAATGAAGAGCTCTGACTTTTCTCTTCACCTATTCCAAAATCTTCAAAGATATCTTCATGGCTCTGGAATAAAAAATTAGCGAGCGCTTCTCTGAACCCTTCATTCTCACAACATCTCTCAGCCTTCCCATCTTCTCCCACCTGAAATCTGAAACTAAACGAATGAAGCATTATCCAGTAATCAGTCAAATTATCAGGAATCATAACAATTCGGGAAAATCACCATACCTGGCAAAGAAATTGATAATCATCCCAAACAAACAAGCTACATAATTATACAGGATCAATTGCAGAGAACCCAGAAGCCAAATCATGTTCTTGTACAACAATTCCCTTAGAAACCAAATATCGATCGAATCGAATTTGGTTCTAAACAACAACACGTTCTTGGTGGCCATTTCTACAAGCCTATACGCTTTTTCTTGGCCGAAAATACTAATACACTGAACTCAGATACAGAGAAATCAGAGGCAGAGCAAGATCTGGGCAGAATTTGATTTCAGGTACGGAAGGCAACATAGTAAGAAAACAACTCGTGGATTTTCTTAGGTTTTCACCGAAGGGAACGAGAATCTGGTTTCTGGGAAAAAGGGGTGAGAAGAAAACAGAAGCATGTGATAATTTATTGAATAGTTTTGCAGTACATGGCAGAACTGTGGTTTGTGAAGCTTCAGATATGTTGGCACTTGGGCGAGTGAAATGTTGGTGGCGAGGCGCCAGTTTGAACTGAGAGAGAGACTCTCTTTCGGTGTTATTTGATGTTTGTTGGCTTGTATGTTTTCATTTGTAATTTAATGCAGTCGGTGGTGTTTGGATTTCAGTGGAAAAGTGGGGCCCTTTCATGCTTGCTTGGCAACTCTCAAAAATCAAGATTATTCCTTTTCCGGGGCGTAGAATGCATTTTTCATTTTAAGTTCATTAACCAGCCAAAGAATATTAGAATATCTAATGACCCATCCGTGAACCGCCTATACATGTCGATATGTGTGTTAAATTATACTACCTCTGGTTCTAATTATAAGAGCCAGTTGATTAATTTGAGGAGATTAAAAAAGTAAGTTGAGTTAGTTATTTGTTCTAAATAAGTGTTGTCTTTCCTAAAATATCCTTGCTAATCAAGTGTATTGACTAGAATTATCATTATTAGAAGGGCTACTTTGAAAAAAAATGTATAAATATGAGAGACAAAGTGGATTGGGACCTTATATTTAGAATCAAAATAAAAGTCAAACAGGGTCTTATATTAAAGACTAGAGGTAATACTACCTCTGCTCCTAATTACAACACCTCATTTCAAATCTATAAACAAGATCTTAGAAATAGGACCGAAAGTAGTATATAAGTTCACTTTTTTTGTTTTGAATGAAAACACTGCCAACTACTCAAATAAATAACCAAAGAAGTACAACGCCAAAAACCAACAACCCCCACCTCTTGTATAAAAGGTGGCTGTTGATGATAGAGGTGACACGTCTCTGGTGACCTATGAGAAGACTTTGCTAGGAAATCTGCTGAAGTATTTTCTTTCCTATAGACATGACGAATCTGAATCTGCCAATCCCTATGGTAATACATCTTAGCATCTTCTAGCAGGTCCCTAAAAGGGTGGTCATCTTCACACCCTCTTAAAAAAAATTTAATAACATTTATGCAATCAGTATTGATCACAACCTTCATATACCCTTTGTCCCAACATTGTTTCAACCCACGAATCATCCCAAGGAGTTTTGCAATGCTCGGCGGAACTGTAACTAGTTTACAATTAAAGCCAAGAAGCCACCGATTGTTTTTGTCCTTTATTACTCCTCTGCAGCTGCTTTCTCCGCTAGGTAGCAACGAACGATCTACCTCCAACGTCACAAAGTCCTCTCCGTCCTTAAAAATGGATGTCTGATTTGTGACTTCATGCTTGTAGAACTTGCATCTTTTTAGAATCTCATTATCCCATGCAGCTCTAAAGAAAGTTGCTTTTCCCGTTTGAGTTCTAGTGTTACTTTCCACATCAAAGAGCTTGGTACATCTTGAGGTCCATATGTCCCAGCATAAATAACCAAAGAGGGTCGTCCATGAGATCTTCTTAGTGTAGTCTTGCCTAGCCTCATTTGTCAAATTCCATCTCACCCAATCAACACCTTGTAAGGAGGCAAAAGTACTACACTTTGAGACCGCTACCACTGACTTCCATCTATGTGTTGCATTCGAGCAGTCTCGAAGTAGATGCAGATCGTCTTCTTCTTGTGCACATCCAAAGGGACTGGAGGCCACTAGGTCAATGCCACTGTTTACTCTGAGTTTAGCTGTATGCAGACTCCCATGTATTAGCAGCCACAGGAAAGTCTTCGTTTTCTCTGGGAGGTCATAGCTCCAGACTTTCTTCCAAAGACCGTCCTCTCTCCCTCAGGTACCTGAAGAAATAAAATGATAGGCAGAGTTTACAGAGAAGGAACCATCAGGGGATGGTTTCAAGTAAATTTTATCCTCTCCTCTCTCCTCACGGGGGGGATGTGCTTTCACAATATGGTCAATAACGCTCTGAGGAAACCAGGTAGACAGCTTCCTTAAGTCCCAAGTTCACTTTATCTCTATAGCATTCAAAAGTTTACAATAAATCTCTTAATAAATTCTTATATTCATGCAAATAACTATAAATTCTTATATTTATGCAAATAACTTGGGTGTGATTAATTTTCTATATTATCTATCCACTTACAGTTTAAAGTTTAAAATAAAAATTTATTGGAGAGATATAATAAGTGATATATGTTTAATGAGAAAAAAAGTGGAAAGACAATTTTAGAATTTCAAATAAAGATGATTTATTTCTTATATTTATAAATACTACTATAAGAGATATTATTTCTTATAAAAAGAGATGGATGGAGGATTAATTTAAAAGATTAAGGAATTCTATGTAATTTAGATCCACACATAAAAATATTTATAAGAAGATACGACATATAAAAACTAAATAATAAATTTGAAAAAAATTAAAAAAAACTAGTTAAATTGGTTAATTGTAACAAATATATATTGACTTTTTAAAATTAATTTTCTTTAACAATGTGCATTAAAACTTTATTTTTTAACAAGAATTCTTATAATTAATAAGAATATTTTATCTAAAATATTATAGATTTGGAAAATAATGTTTATTTAAATTTACCACGCACAGCTTCCAACTAGTTAGGTATCATCTGTTTTGTATTAACATGGGATCCATATATTTTCGTGATTTCTGTGCAAATTGCATTTCGTTAATCCATTTGATTACACTTCCTAAGAACTCGGCATACAGTAAAATGTCTTATCACATAATTTAAAGTTGTATTGTAGTTATTATGCAAACAATGTTTTAAAATTTTATAACTGAGCTAATTAGAACAAACATAAAATATATGACAAAGCAAAATGTCCTGAATTTTTATTCTAACTTAAATGTTTTTTATTTCAATCAAAATACACACACATATATATAGCACAAGTTACCCCGCAAAAATAGCTTTTTCTTTGCCCAACACACAATAATAGTAAAACTATAGGATCGCATAAAAAATTAGATGCCAAAAAAAAAAGAAAAAATTAACTGATATATTTCACTCCAAAGAAGTTAATGACTTTTTAAAAATTGATCGAAACAATAATTTCTTGACAAAATTAGTTCGATCAATAATTTTGTTTTTAATACAAATAATCTTATATCCATAAAAGCGGAAGATGATGACGACTTCAAAGTCAAATCGTTAACTTTAAGCTAACTACTAATGTAAATGAGTTAGAATAAGATTCAAATCCTGCTAAACCACATCTTCACAAAAGTTTTATGAGAACAAAGAAGGACCCATACGCATGCAAACAAGAAAAGGGGAGATGATAAAGCATCATTATTTTCAAAATGCTAAATGTATGTTGCAGTGTCAAAAAATTAAAAAAAAAAAAAAGATACTAGCTTATATTGGCCTTTATATTGGCTTTTATATTGGCTTTAATAGTAAAAATTTTCAACTTTTATCCTATATTTGATATGAGGGAATTGGACTGAAGGAGAGGAAAAGGAAAGTTTTAATGAGCATAATATAAAAAAAATGGAGAAATGAGGTTATAAAATCTTGATAAAAAAATGTAAGAAAAAAGAATAAAAAATAATTAAAAATTGTTAGTCGTACTTCAATTTTTTAAATTGAGCTCATTAAATTTTTCCATAATCGTCACTCCTCCATGTCCAACTAATCATTAAAAGTATTCTAACATTTATATTGAATTTAAAAAGTCACATTATGAGAGTTCCTCCGTATGATTTGATAATCTTCTAATGTGGACTAATTAATATTATGTTTGATTTTAAATATAAGAGTTAGCTGTGGTGTTTATTTTAATGAAAAATATAATATTTTATATATTTTATCTCTTAAATTTATGATCTTTTTTTTAGATTATCCTTATTGATTATTGATTATATATATGAAAGAGGTTTCCATCAATGGAGGGAATTGATCAAATAGGTTATTTTACAGAAATCATCACATATTTATTATAAATAACTAATTCCTTTTCAGTATAACTCAAAGTATCCTCAAGTCATTCTAGGTTTGAGACTAATCTTTATCGGGTTGGGAACATTAAAGTTAAAACCCTCCAAACAAATGCACTTTCCTAGATTCAAACTTGTATTTTTTTTCCTTAGAGGGCGAAACCGCTTGCTTTCTCAATCAACAACTTGTTGGTCAAATAACTAAATTAATTCTCTAATGCTCATATTTAAAAAGAGAGTATATCTAAAACCATAAAATTAAGAGGATGAGGAACCATCAGTAATTAGGCCAAATTAACAGGATTCAATTTCTTTTTTTTGGTGGTAATTGCATTCAATTTCCCTTTAAAATAAGGGAGAATTTCAGTTAAGGACCGCAGAAGACAATTTATATCAATCAAGGACCAAAACTTTCTGAAATTTCACAGCAGGACCAAGGGACCAAATTGAAATTAAAATTTAGAGTGAAATTACAATAATACCCCTCCCTTTTTATTTTATTAAAAAATAAATATTAACCGGAGATACTGTTCCGTCCACCAGAGGTCAGAGGTCCGGCCACCGGCGCTTAGGTGGCCGTCACCAGGAGTCCGGCCACCGGTGGCTGGAACAGTAGCTCCGGCCGGCCTCCGGTGGCCGGAATTTTTTTTGTTTAAAACAAAGCGGCCAAGGGAGAGTTTGAACCCATGACCCTTGGCACACCAAAAAGTTTGCAACCACCAAGTCAAGCAACCCATTCAAACATAAGATGCAAATAAAAATACATATAACAAAACAAACACAACTGTTTGATTGTAAGTGAACATGTGAAATTAGACGATTTACAAGTAGAATTCAACAATTTATAACAAAAATTAGGTAATCTACAAATAACATAATAGAAGTCATAATCCCAAATGCAAGTGTTTAAGTGCAAATGAGCTAGTGAAATTTGAAGATTTACAACAAAAGTTTATGGATTTACAACCCAAATTTGGCAAACACAAGAGAATTCACAACCCAAAATGTAAGTGTTTGAGTGTAAGTGAACAAGTGAAATTTGACGATTTACAAGTGGAATTCAGCAATTTACAACAAAAATTAGGCAATTTACAAATAACATAATCGAAGTCATAACCTCAAATACAAGTGTTTAAATGCAAATGAGCAAGTGAAATTTGAAGATTTATAACAAAAGTTTATGGATTTACAACCCAAATTTAGCA